GCCTTGGGTAACAGCTTGGCCTTGGGTAACAGCTTGGCCTTGGGTAACAGCTTGGCCTTGGGTAACAGCTTGGCCTTGGGTAACAGCTTGGCCTTGGGTAACAGCTTGGCCTTGGGTAACAGCTTGGCCTTGGGTAACAGCTTGGCCTTGGGTAACAGCTTGGCCTTGGGTAACAGCTTGGCCTTGGGTAACAGCTTGAACTCTCCGAAGCATCTTTCAGCATTGATTGCAAAACGTAGTTCAACCTGAATTATTCAAGCATATTCCAACGTATTCGCCAGTCGTTCTTAGAGGATACATACTCCTGCTGCACGAGTCCTGCATACAATCGACTCTCGACACGCAACAACGTTGTAACTCACAAACAACAACATACATCTTAACATGCTCATTGATAGACATATGACGATATCGATCAAATGATAGAAGAGGATGATGAACACTAAAAGGCTCCATATCATCATTCCCCGACGATTCCGACACCACCCTTGAACCTGACGTAGAATTCCTCAGCAGTGAAAACCTAGGTAAAATGGAAAAAGGGCTGTTAAGAGCTCATGATCATCCAAGGGGTCATCCAGTATCCAGCTATGTGAAAGCGCCAGAGTAGGAGAATATCCGCATGGTGACCATGCCATGGTCAACTACACGTGTTGGTGACAGTATGCAAATTGCGGGGAGATTTCGAGTGATTCTTATTGGTTTTCGTACACTCCTACTCCAAGTCATGTGTTAACTTCTATAATTAGTGAAGAAACTCAACTGACGAAAGCTAAAATACATTCCAAAACTGCAAAGTGTGCAATACAATCGTCAGTGCTAGACCGGACGAGTACCTAACAACCTCATTGATGACAAAGAGCACAACTCAAGACCCGCGAGCTAACCATAGAAGGTTCAGAATACTTCGAAAGCTCACCTTTAGCTGGTCGACTGCCTTCGATCCCTCTTGTTGCCATGGCTCTTTGATCCTCTCAGATCTGACTCGGGAACTGAAATATCTTGATATCAATTCCGTGCGCCTCAAGGAGCAGAACTGCTACCAGAAACGCTCCGTTCAATACGGTGAGGCCCGTCAACGAATTCAAAATCGTCATCGTCCCTGAACACAGAGAAATAAACTCAACTGAGATTAGCAAACTTTCTCAGAGATGCTCGATAGCAACTTCAAAATTACACTTTCTATGTCAAAACCGCGTTAGGATGATTACTTTTTTCTTCTATTTAGGAAATTGCCGATTTTTCTCTTGAATTCGTACCCTCTACCTGAAATGCCACATGTATGAGACCATAGTGCTACGACTCTACTGCTATCAAGCCAGACGAAGAAGCAGTATCACTATCTGGCTTTCAGAGTTGATTCCTATCAGTGTGGTAAAATATGCACATTGTCAACTACATATGTTGGTGTCGAAATAAAAATTGTGAGGAAATTTTGGGAAATATTTAACTACTTTCTACTCGGATTCGTATATGGACTTCTATGATTAGTGAGGAAACTCTAAAGCGCCGTCGAGGAAATCAAACGCATATATTGGATATATGTGGGTTGAACCTGTCTCATACGTGTCTCATACGTGCGGCACGTAATATATTATATTCCCACACTGATTCCTATAGGCCATAGGAATAGCAACGCTTGTGATGAATTACTCACCTATTCTCTTCTTAGTGTTTTCATCCGCTTCAAGGAACTCGAAATCCGAATACCTAAAAAAATCCGATGAAACTGTAAAGCATTTGCAGCCCTACTCGCCACTGCTATGACGAGAACCCTCCGTAGAGAGCGAACGTTCTGAAACAGGTTGACGAATCCTCTTATGGTGCATTCGGGTTACACAAGTTCGGGAATCGGTAATACGATCTATACCGTCATTCACAGTCTGAGTTTCCTCCTCCTGCGCGAGCTCCTTGCCCTGTTCTTCCGTCTGAGTTTCAGAATCTACAAATCGATACAGATTCGGTAAAGAAGTTTCAACTATGATCTTTCGATAGCTTTTCAGTTCACAGAATTTAGGTCTGTTCACATTGTGAACAGACCAATTGTGAACTTCACAAGAATATTCACTGTGAGTCGTCTCAAGTTTAGGGAATGGTTAAAGCAATCGGATGGAAGATGCTCTTTGACGAGCATACGGATCAGACTCACCTAGGTTATGTTTCTTTTCCGTCTCATCGTTATCAGAGTTCACATCTACTCCTTGTTCCTCTTTGCCAGGTCTGGCGAAACTTCTGAGGACGGATCGATTCAATGACCACCAAGAATTCGTCACAGTGCTCATACGTGGGATTTTTGGAATCTGTTCTTGGCGTTCCATTGAACTGAGGAAGGCTAGGAAGGAATTATAATAATTTTCTCAATGGGGAATAGCAATAATCTGGATATCAAATTTTAAGACAGTTTTCTATCCGAAATTTCATTCTATCAAATATCATTTGATCGTCGATTCCGTCAGCCGTGAGTTTCCGAGATGACTCGAAATCTGTCCAGATGTCGAAAAACCAAATGCCATTTGGTGTACTGTCATTGATATAGAATATGTATAGTGAAATCCGAAATCTTAAATATCATTTTAAGTATTGATAAAGAAATTAAATATCATTAAATGTCGCGATCATTGGAGTTCACTCGTAATATGAAAAACGCTGGTGAAAAACATATTTCACGACGACTACTACAGACCGCGAATATCGCGTTTTTCACCACGAGTTTTACGACGCCACTTCACGTAAAACGGGTAGTCGTGAAACTCCATTACATCATTAAATTTGAATATCATCTTGATATAGAATATCGATTTTAAAACCATCCTAGAATCAATCCTGAACATATCTATTATCAAGAACGACTCACTTGTAGTCCTGCGCGATGGCATGAATGCTATGCTGTAACCGTTCCCGTCGAAGAATTGCATATTTTCCCGCATTCTCCACGATAGCGATCACCTCTGTGGTTTTCGTTCTGTCTTTAGCTCTCGTTTCCACCTCTACAAATGCCACCGTTCCTCTGTCCGCTTCCTGGTGAGCATCGCCCCTCCCATTGATCGGTAGGGATTCCCATCTACCATCAGTTTTGGAATACCACTTATCTTGACGCTCAGGCTTGAACAGGGAGATGGCGGGCTCGGTACTCGAGTAGACCAGAGGGATGTGAGTCATACGTCCCTGACGCTCATCCCACGGCTGCTCCTCGTCGTTCAACGGTCTCAGCAACTTGAGAATATATGTCTTCTTTCCTACCACAATTTCTCTACTTTCGTCCGGAGTGCTGCCCTGTTTGAATTCGAAATTGAGCTTGTTTTCTTTTCCTCTTTTCACAGAGTCTGGTAAGCAATCGCGATCGAGACCCTCTTGAGTTACTATACAGTTCTTAGTACTGCGGGTAACCGGTTCGGCCTTCTCATTGTATTCAATCTCATGTAAGAGTAGCCGTTCGGGACGACCTTCCTCTCCCCCCAGTATAACAGCACAGAAGGCTTCACTGCGCGTCTGGGGTTCCTCTAGCTTTTCCGTAGGGGGAGGGAAGATTTCACACCACACAGAATCACGAGGGACTTCGGTAACGCTAGGTCTACCAAGGAAGTAGCTGACGGCACCGAGAAGAGTGAGCATGATTTGCAACTAATAAGTATGCAGATGAACGATCAGCTAGGAAGGGCTCGCACGTGAGCCGGACAGATAGGCGGAAGCTCGAAAAG